CGCCCAAGAGGCCTGCAAGATGGCTCCATGACGGCCCAAGGGCCCCCCAAGACGGCCCCAAGAGGGCTTCAAGACGCCCAGGATGGCCTCCAAGACGGCCCTGTAGCACCCCAAGCGGGCTCCAAGTCGGCTCAGACGGTTTCCCACGGCGTCAGGCGGGCCAGGAATGCCCCAACACTGCCAAAGAGGCCCCCGAGAAGCCCCCAACAGGTCTCCAAGAGGCCGAAGGAGGCCTCCAAGATGCCTCCAACAGGCTCCCAGGAAGCTCCCAGGAGGCCCCAAGGGTGCCCCTAGAGGCTCCCAATATGCCGTCTTCTTCTCCTCCTCCTCCTCCTCCTCCTCCTCCTCCTGGTCTTCTCCGCCATCCTCCCCCAATTGTTCCCCGAAAGGTTTCCACAACGGCTGGGGGAACACATGGTCCGATAGCTTGGCAGAGCTCTTGCCACAGCGCTCGGCCACATGGGCCAGTCCAAAAGGCAGGGGGCGGCGGTGATTCGCCGTAGGCGTCTTCGATAAGTCCGCGCACGCGCGCACTCGGAAGCACACTACCAGTGCACAACCTTGGGTAACACATGATCAATCCATATATATATGATGTTGCTGGGTGAGTGAATCGCAACTACGCTGGCGCAACCATCCCTAAACCTACATTCAAACAATCAGCAACCCTTTGCAAAATTATGCCGATAAATACTCCATGGCACGGCAAGGGGTCACACAGATTGACGAATTATGGAGAGCATGTAATTCGGCGAAGCTCGCAAGCTCATGCAATCGTGCCCGTCCCCTGCTTTATAACTGAGATGTTCAAGCGAACTTCAGCATAACTTCTCTTCACCTCGGGACATGCGTCTTCGAAGCTCCAACAGCGGGCTCAAACTTCTTGACCTCCTGGTGGAAGTAGTTCTGCAGCCTAAGTGGTCTTGGACCCGGCTAGGGCGCCGCGGACTGCGGCATAGAAAGCCGATCCCCTCATCTCGCTGCAACAACTACCCCACAATGTCAACATCACGCGCGCCTTGGATGGTGGCATCTCCTGACTTACAAATGCTCAAGCACATCTCACCACGATGCAAAGCTCAAGATCGGCCAGCTGGCAACGTAGATTGCTTATCGGAACCTCCCAGAGAACCCTCGCCCAGGTGACTTCATCCTTAACATATTGCCATGAAGGAGACGGTCCCTGAACAGAAACCATTATTGAACCGACTTGGGGTTCTGCCCTGGGGCCAACAATTTTGTCATCTGCCGTTTTTGATACATATAGCCCAGGAACACAGACATCCAGCCGCTCCATTGTTTTCGATGCGCGGACCCCAAAGGTCTGAACCCCCTCCCCAAAACGTTGTTTCGCACCGCATCGTTTTTGGTGACGGTCCGGAGACCTGGCGAGAGCCCCCAGCGCCCGAAAACGGCCAAACATCGGCAGCTCCCATTGTCCTGGAGCGTCGGATCTCTGGGAATGGCCCCCGCGGAGCGAACACGGCGAAAACCTGAGGACACGTTTCGCGCAGGACCCCCTCTCTCTAGTGCTGACCACTGTGCGAACCGCGGTGCGGGAAACATTTTTTGTCGGCGGCGAAGCAGAAGCTGTCCGCTCCAGCGCGTAGCAATTTTCTGGCCGCCCTCGCCCTGCCCCCTGGACGAAGCCAGCCGAGCGGCTCGCTCCAACGTCCAGACACCTCGACCTTCGGGCCTGCGAGCCTATCATCGGGGAGGGCTCGGGGGACTCGGCCGTTGGCCTGGCGAGGCCGTCGAAACCATGACGAGACCCCGTCTGAAATTTGACGCGAACTCCCGCCGCAAACATCCCACGAGAACTGGACCGTCAAAGCCCGCGAAGGGCTCGTCAAAGAGCGTCGGCAAACCCGACCTCCAACGAACTCGAGTCTGATGATTCCCCGACATCTGGGACCGCCCGGATATAACTACTTGCCGTTGTTCGGACGTCCCTTCCCCGTGTTTGTTTCGGTATCGTGCGCGGTGTTCTCCACATCCTCGGAGGGTTTATTCGGGACACACTGCGCAGGAACAGGGAACCACCGACATCATCATCATCATCATCATCATCATCATCATCATCGTCATCATCATCATCATCATCATCATCAGCATCATCGTCATCATCACAAGCATCATCACCATCCCCAAAATCACCACCGTCACCATCAGCATCAGTACGATCACCGCACACATCACCTCATGTCATCCCGCTACAGCATCATCATCACCAGCACCACAATCATCACCACCATCGCAATCGTCATCGTAATGAACAGCATCCGCCACCATCAGAACAATATCCACAATCCCATCATGACCACTCACCATGACCATCACACCCATTCACTCTTTCACTCACACACATTGACCCATCGCTCACGCATTCATCGTTATGTCAGGGCTCCATCATGAGCATCGATCATCCATAATACCATCGTCGTTATCACCATCGCACACCACCATCGTCATCACTATTTCCATCCCACCATGGTCATCAACCAAGAAAACGCCTCGGCTGTAAACGAACTCAGAAAATCACACGCGACCCCCCTTCTTGAGGGGCACGCACTTCACGTTCGAATCCGAAACGGGTCATCCGGAACCAGTACCTGTCGTCACTGTTTGGCTACTGAAACCTCGTCTGTGGCAGAATCGGGGGACATCGCGGGCGGGGGGGCCCTCCCCGTGGGGCTCGCAACTAATGTTCGAATCCGAGACGGGTTATCCTCTAACCTCTGTCATTACTGTTGGGCCCCTCGGGCCTGAAGATGGAAGAACTCGCAAGCGTGAGCCTCGTCTGTGAGTGAATTGCGAGGAAGTCTGAGGCGGGAGGCCCCCCCCCCATGGGGCCCGCAACTCATGCTCGAATCCGAAGCGGGTCATCCCAAAACCTAGAACTGTTGTCATTCTTGGGCGCCGCAGGCCTGAACGTGAGGGAAATCTCGAGCGGAAGCCCCGTCTGTGAATACATCGCGACGAAGTATCCAGCGGGAGCGCCTCCCTACGGAAACGGGCCCGCAGCTGACGTTAGTGATCCGAACGGTTCATCACATTGGTGTAAGCGTCATCCCTTTCGGGCTCGTCTGGGAATGGATCGCGGTGGCGTCTCCAGCTCGCGCTCGGGAAAAAGGTCGCCCGTCTGTCCCTCAGCTGGCCTGCCACTGGCCCTCTCGGGCCACCCCCCTTCATGGGGCCCGCACTTCACGCTGGCAATCCGAATATTTAAGCCGAGCTGGTCGCCGGCAGTCGTGTTACTGCCGATATTTCCTGGAGCGCGGGATGCTGGCGTCCCTGCGGAAAGCGCTCGAAGAGTTGGACAAGAGAGCAATCACTCCCAGGGATGAGGCGGAGCAGCTCGCGGCAGAGCTGGAGTTCAAGCTGCCTCCCGCCTGAGCGCGGCCGCGACTAGCCCGAAACCTGTGGTGTTGCCCCAACGGCTGGCTCCCGCGCCCCAGCGGCTCGCGGGGTTGTCCCAACGGCCTCGCCCGCGGGGCTGCCCCAACGGCCCCGCGATCAGGCCATCGGAAAGCGCGCCCATGCCGCCCGCGGCCGCATCAACGCCTAGGAAAACAGACCTGCCTTGGCCAGGAGCCAGAGGAGGTGCATGGAGAGAACAGGCAGAAGGAGGATATGAGAAGAATAGTGAGTAGGATGGCGAGGGGGAGGAGGCGGATGAGGAGGAGGAGGAGGAGGAGGAGGAGGAAAGGGGGAAAGGGGGAGGCGGAGTAGGAGGAGGAGGAGGAGGAGGAGGACGAGGAGGCAGAGGAGGAGGAGGGGAGGACGAGGAGGAGGAGGAACCCGAGGGCGAAGATGATGAGGAGCAGAAGGCGGAACAGAGAGCGGGAGGAGAGCCTCCGCCACGGCGAATGGGAAAGGCACGAAGGGCTGGCTTGATCTATTCTCGCTCATGCGAAGTCCCACCGTCGGAGTATTTTTTTGGGGGGGTCGGGGGTTGATCCCCAGGATGTTCCTCGGCGGTCCCCGCCGAGAACGTCCGAGCGATGCCAAGGCGAGGGGAGCGCTCTCCTGGGGAGGGGCGGCCTCCGCCACCGCAGCCCGCGGGGCCCCGCCCCCCCGGGGGGCGCGCGGCCCGCGCCCTTTCAGCATCCCCCGGGGGGGCGTCGCCTCAAGTCGGGCATGCCCCCCCTGCAGGAGGAATGATGGGCCTGCTTTCCACCACCGCCACCACCACCAGAAGTTGGATGGGGGAGGGGGAGGGGGAGGAGGAGGAGGAGGAGGAGGAGGAGGAGGAGGAGGAGGAGGAGGAGGAGGAGGAGGAGGAGGGGGGGGAGGAGGAGGAGGAGGAGGAAGAGGACCCCCCCCATCCAACTTACGGTGGTGGTGGAAAACAGGCCCATCGAGGAATATTCTAGCAAGTGAGGACAATAGCCTGGGGACGATTTGTAGTGCCTTCTTGACTGCTTTTGAATCCTGTCTTGGCAATGGCATTTTGTCACCCGAGCCCCGACTGTGGGATGACATGCCCGACCGAACTCCCGCGCCGCGGCAGGCCGTGTGGCGCGCGGGCGAAAGACCTCTCCGGCGAGCCGGGCAGAGAAGAAGGGCGGTAGGGGCCTGCTATGATGGGGTCGGGGAGGATCGCGCCGCATCCCCGATGCATCGGCGATGCACTGGCGATGCATCGGCGACGGCGGCGGTGCATCGGCGCCGCCGGGGTGAGAAAGTCGGAGCCCGCATCGAGCCGCATCGCGATGCATCGGCGATGCGGCGCGATCCTCCGACCCCATCTGCTCCGACCCCATCCAGGAGGCCTAGAAGACAGGGGATATGTCGGTTTTCGAATGGACCAGACATTTGGGGCCCACCACCCTGGGATATACGATGGGGGGGCATCCATCCTCGATGGGGGTTCGTCCGAAAGGCCCCCTGGGGTGCATCCCGGGGTTCCCTATTTTTTTCTGAGCGGCTTCATGTTTCGTCGAGAAGTCGGTGGTTGTGGGAGATAAATCGCCTGCGAGGGGTTCATCCTCGATAGGGGCACGTCCGTGGAGCCACCCTGGGGAAACCAACATTTTTTGTTTTCGAAGTCCAACCGCGCTATGTCGAATGTGCTGTCCTGGTACTGCGCTGCCGAAGGGGATCACAAAATGTCAGGCTTGCGCAACGGCGCCGTGCAATATACAAGTTCTATATAGCGCTTGCCACGTGCAACCTTGACATGAGAACACAAACCCTGGAATTCACACGGAGGCGCAGCGGATCATGCTGTTCTGGCGTCGGTTACGAGCCATCAGCGAAGGCACTGAAGTTTCCCCAACTGGCGACGACCAACTAAAAAGGGAACGTAGAAGTGGCACTCAGCTCTGTGCGGACGGACGCCTTCGAACTTTGCGAACCCTCCCATCTACTTGAGCTGTCGGCACCGGTGGTGCGTCATACCAATTCTCATGTCTACTTCTCACGGCACTGTCCTCCGTGCCCCAGTTCAGTTCCAAAGCGCCGAAACTGGAGCCAGGCGAGACTTGCAGTCCCTGCTGCTCGAATCGCTGCACCAACTCGCGAGCTAGCATTCTGATGAACACATGGCTGTGGCAGGGGCGCGTCTGCTGATTCAAGGTCCCGTCAGCAAGAAACATTGGTCTTTTCAGCTCCATTGCCGCAGGCACGTCGTGAGGGTCCAGTGCCTCCTCGTGGGTGCTGAAATACCACCCTCTAAGCACAGGATCTGCTCGGATCGGTTTCGCCCGAGTGAAATAAAACTGTTTCCCAAGCTCGTAGCGTTGAAGATCTTCCAAATGGACGTGGCAACAACTCTTGCCATTCACCGCCTCCCTGCGACAATCGGCAATCGCAAAATCCTCGATCTGTTGAAGCAAAATTGTTACCGCTTGCTGGTAGATTTGAATGTCCTGGTCTCTCCGCTGTCGCCTCGCGTCTTCGTCAACAGACATGTAGGTACTTAGCCACTGCTCACTCTCCTGCTTCAGACGTGCGTTCCGTTCCTTAGCGGTTGCAGTCAACTGCATCAGTTCTGTCCCAGCGGTCTTCACGGCAACGGCAGTGACCTCGTTTTCCATGCTGGTGTTGCAAGTATCCGCAAGCCGTTCGGTATCCAGTAGCTCACGCCCCTCCAGCAGCAGCTGCCAGACCCCTCCATCACAGTGTGGCAATTTCTGCTTGAGTTCCTTCACGCTCTCGCTGCCATCGAATATTGCTCGAGGACCAAGCAGCACTTCGCCACTGATCCTGGTGATGGTGATACGTAGGACCGCCACGTCTACAGGCTGCGCCATCTGGGAACGAACTCGACGCTGAGGAAACTTTGGCTGACAATGGATCTTCTGGAGAACATTTCGATTGCGCCTAGATGGCTGGAGCCGACATGGCTACGGAACGGAGAAGACAAAGGATACTGATACCGCTACTCCCAGGACCTCTCCCGGGGCGCGCTGTGACCAGGATCTCGAGGTGACTCCAGCGGTGGCGACGGGCGCCTCCAAGGAGGTCCAAACAGGCGAAAACGAGGCGAGGCTGGCGGTATGGGGTATGGGTGATTTTCCTCCTCTGATATAACAGGGGTGTGTGCTTTACCTCGAGTTCCATCGTTCTTTTCCGGAAGGCCTGTCAGTCTGCGGGGGCACCCGGGTGACCTCGAGGGGGGAGGGGAGGCCTCCCTCTGTGCTCCTCTTCCGCCTCCTCCCCCTCCTCCGCCTCCTCCCTCTTCTTCCTCCTCCCTCTCTCCATCTTCTTCCTCCTTCTCCTCCTTCTTTCCTCCTCCTCCTCCCTTCAGCCCTCCCTCCTCCTCCCTCCTCCTCCCCCTCCCTCCTCCTCCTCCTCCTCCTCCTCCTTTTCCTCCTCCTCCTCCTCCTCCTCCTCCTCCTGCTCCTGCTCCTCCTCCCACTCCTACTCCTACTATTACTCCTACTCCTACCTACTCCTTACTCCTCCTCCTCCTCCTCCCTCCTCCTCCTCCTCCTCCTCCTCCTCCTCCTCCTCCTCCTCCTCCCCCTTCTTCCTCCTCCTCCTCCTCCTCCGCCTCCTCCCCCTCCTTCTCCGCCTCCTCTCCCTGCCCCTCCTCATTCTTATCCTCATCCTCCTCCTCCTCCTCCTTCTTCTCCTCCTCCTGATGAATCATCATCATCATCATCATCATCATCATCATCATCATCATCATCATCATCATCATCATCATCATCATCATCATCATCATCATCATCATCATCATCATCATCAGCATCATCATCATCATCATCATCATCATCATCATCACCATCATCATCAGCATCATAATCATCATCATCAGCAGCATCAGCATCATCACCATATCATCATCATCATCATCATCATCATCATCATCAGCATCATCATTATAATCATAATCATCATCATCAAAATCCTCAGCATCATCAGCATCATCAGCATCATCACCATCATCATCAGCACCAGCATCATCATCACCATCACCATCATCACCATCACCATCAGCATCATCATTAGCATCATCATCATCACAATCATCATCATCATCATCATCAGCAGCAGCAGCAGCAGCAGCATCAACATCATCAGCATCATCGGCAGCAGCATCATGAGCCATATCAGCATCAGCATCATCAGCATCAGCAACATCACCATCATCATCACCAGCACCATCCTCACCATCAACAGCATGGCCATCAGTATCAATATCATCAGCATCATCAGCATCATCATCCCGGTTATTCCTCTTCCTCCTGCTCCTCCTCCTCCTCCTCCTCCTTCTCCTCCGCCTCCTCCTCCTCCTCCCTCTTCCTTCTCCTCCTCCTCCTCGTCCTCCTCCTCCTCCTCCCTCCTCCCATTCCTCCTTCCTCCTCCTCCTTCCTCCTCCTCTTCTTCTCCTCCCTCACCCTCCTCCTCCTCCTCCTCCTCCTCCTCCTATTCCTCCTCCTCCTCCTAGCACTGCCTGCGTCGGTCAGCTCTCTGGTAAGGGGGAAACAATTCGTGAACACTCCCCTGCTCCTCAAAGTTGAAAGTTGCCGCGCGGGGGGGGCGCCGGTCGAAGTGCAACTCATCATAACCACCGCTGAACATTGGGGGGAGGGGGAGGCGTTGACCGATGAATGTGGCGTGCGCGTTCGCTATTTATTTTCCGAGGCCTATCTGACCCCTGGTCTGGTGTCGCAGTCGCGGCCCTGCCCTTTGTTGTTTTGTGGGCGGTCCCGGGCCCCGGTCCTGGAGGCCGACATGTTCCCAAAACTGTGCTTCTGTCGGGCTGCCCACCGAGCCACTCCAACCCAGCCCGAAGTCGCCGTTGAGCCTGTCAGTTTCCAGTGCAGGGGCATTACTCGGCAGCGAGCGAGGGGAGGAATTGAGAAGGGAAGGCCTTCTCAGAGGGCGGCGGGACTTCTCGAAACCCTCGCGCCATCTGAGAAATTTGTTTGTCTTCGGGGAAATCTTAGGAAACTTCACAGAACGCCCGGGGACTTCCAAACCTTCTGAAAATGCATTCTCCTTCTCACTTCCCCCCTCGCGCGCCACCGAATCACGGAACATCGAGGGAACACCGTGGAACCCGTACATCCCCCCACCCAAGATCTGTTGGGGGTGTCTGGGACCTTCGGTCTGGGTTACGGCGATTCGGTGGGCAGAGGAAGCTGTGACTCTGTCAGAAATCGAGGAGACGGGGGTCCTGGGATTAAACATCCGCCGCTGAACCGTCATGGATGCGCTCTGGCCAGATTCTCGCGGCGGATCCAACCGCGGAAGCAATGATCCCACTGCCAGAGGCCCACAAAGGGCGGACGGCATCCAACACCCGGGCCCTCAGAGTCTCGAAGCCCTCTCCTCCGACGCCACAGCTTCTCGGGACGCGACCCCCTTGGCGACCACGACCCTTGCCCCCGGGGCCCGGTTTTCATTCCGGGTCCGTGCTTGACGGTCCTAGCGGCGTGCCGCGGCCCCCAGGGGCTGGCACCCCCCCCCACAGAAAAGCGGCCGCCACGGTTCTTGCCGTCGCCTGCAACCCGAGGGGGAAGAAGACGGGCCTCGGCCCAGAACCCGGCGGGAAGCGGTGCCTCTGTTGACCCCGGCAACTATGTTTCCCTTGCAGGAACTGGGGGGGGGGGCCCACGAGGAAACCTAGACTTGACGCAGGCCGGAGCTCGGAACCCTCGTTTTCGGCCCAGCGCCGTCTTGAACGCATGAAAGCCGCCCCCCGCCCCCCGCATGAGGAAATTCAGACCAACTACGCCGCGCGCGCGGCCCCCCCCCTGAGACAGCTGGCAACGGCCTCGCTTACAGGGTTCCCACGCACATTGGCCACACTTGCAAAAAGCTGACATGTGAACTCCCCTGTTGGAGGGGCTGGGGTGGGTTTCCCACTGCTCATGTTTAAGAGGCGGCGGGGGGGGCGATCGGTGGAACTGTCTGGGGTAAATGCACATTGGGCTAACACGCGTCTTGAGGATGATCGAGAAATTCGAACGTCGTCCAGGACGTAAGGCTTCAGGTTGCGCGCAAAGAACCTTCCCAATGTAGCCCCCGCTGGCGTCAACAGGCCCCCCGAGTAGCCCCAGCTGGCTTCAACAAGCCCTTCGAATGGTCCAAGTCGGTCTCGACATCTCAACCCAGGGGCGCGGAGCACCTGTTGAGACCGCCTCAGGCTACGCGGGGGGGTTGTTGAAGGGCCTGCTGAGGCCAACTGGGGTTTTCTTGGCCGGTGGCGACACCCGAACCCCACCCCCGCCAACCACCGCTTCTCTTGAATCGATGAGAGGCGGGGCGGCGTTCGAGTTTCGCCAAAGTGTCCAGCGAATTCCAAACCATACCCCCCGCCGCCCATATAGCTGCCTGGGTCGTTGATGTGGGCGCTTCGGCCCCCGCTTTCGCCGCCGTCTGGGGGGCCGTTTGCGCGCGGCCCGAATTGGCGACTCCCAAAGGCATGGTTTGCGGAGGGTGCGGTTTGCAGTCCGTGCCCAGGGGGGCGGGCGAGGACCTCGACGGAGTTCTCCGCCGCGCCACGGGGGGGCCCGTCGAAGGCAACGTGGTGCCCCACACGTTCCAAAGACGCAGATCGCAAACCACACCCTGGCGTAACCGCGCCCTTTGTAGTCGCCGACCGAATATCGAACAGAGACCGACCGTCCCGGCATTCCCCTAGGACTGCCCCAACATGTATTCAAAATAGCACAAACGCATGTTCGACCAACGAAGCAGTGTTTTTTGTATGAAAAAATGCAATGTGTACAATCTCGGCCAAAACTGTTCCGACGAAGCGCCGCCCCGAAGCAACTGCTCTCGCGCCCATCTTGCGCGCTTGGCGATTCGACTCAGAAACACACAGCACCGCGTCGAGGGCAGCATCAACAGCAGGATAAAGAAAAACACAAGCGGCAGGAAAGAGAGGACACAGGCAATACACAAAGAAACAACAGCAGCGGCGACGAAGAGAGCAACAAGGAAAGGAGCAGGAAACGGATCGAAAAAAGGAACCGCAAAACGAAACAAACACAACGAAAGGGAGGAAACTGATAGCAACGCGCACAAACATAAGGCGGGAGGCATGGGAATTGCCGGCGAGGACGAAACATCATGCACACGGTGTTGACGAGCGCGGGCCCCCTGCCCCGCAGGAGAACTCGGCTGCGCCACTGGGCGGCCCAAGCCACCGAAGCTAGCTGGGCACATGCAGTCATGCAGCGATGGGGGGTGGGGGGGCGAATGAGGAGGAGGACAAACATAGAACAGGGTTCGGAACACTATGACGGCAAGGGTTGGGCCCGCTGTTGCAGCCCAGCGGGAGAGGACGGCAGAAGAAACGCGGCTGGCCTACTCTGTCGGCCGCCCGCGGGCCTCTCGCACGTGCCCGTCGAAAACGCCACTGACGTCCTGCAGCGTGGGTGTGCCGTGGCGGCGCCCGTTGTGCACGCGCTACGTGGCGTAAACGGATACGGCCCAGTCGACCACGGTTCGCTCGCCCTGTCGGTGTCCATCCAATCCCATCACCGTGTCAAGCTCGAAGCCTGGGCTGGGTCGAAGAACGTCTAAAAATATCTGTTTTGAAACGTGTGGGCAACAGGACAGTAAGCGAAGTGCCTCATGGTGCCCGCCCCGTCATTGCACAACCTGCCAGGGCCAGCTTGGCCGAAACGCGATCGCGTGCACCACCCGCTACGTAGAAAACAGAAAACGGCGGCCCAAACCCCGGCTGGCAGTGTCGCCCGACGAGCTGCAAGTTGCGGATCGTCGGTGTCAGCCGGTGGCCGGGTAGACATGCCAACGGCCAGTGCTGGAGTTTTTTTTTGGTCTGGAGGTGGACGTGGGCGTCCACGCGTGCTGGGCCACGCAACTGCTCCACTGCATATAACTAAAAAGGCGTTGCGCAACCCACAATAATTCCTTGGAACATTCTTCGGTGGCCCTAGAGGCAAGCCAAAACGCTTCGCCACTGCCCGAGAAACCTTGAAAACCGACGTTGCAAGAAACATACTTCGCACGGAATCGCGACTAGACGCCTATACCACATCT